AACATAAGTGGAACTGCAATATATTTGGCAGCTAAAGCATTTGAAATATCTGGGTCCAACATATAGACTGCAAGTCTGCTTTCTATTCTCTTGCATTCAAACTTTTCGCATGTGAACTTAACTGGGTCCCAAGCATTCCAGCAGCATTGAAATAATAGTTTACTTCAGTGTTGAGGTTTGAGAAACCAAAGTCTAAGTCAACTTTGTCTTTGCAAAAGTCGGCGAATGACATTTTATTTGTTCCCACTACGTCTGTAAGAGTGAATGGGTCTTGTGTTGGTGCAATGACTAAGTTATTTTTGCTTGGAGTAAGTTCGATAGAAATTTTTCCTGCCCAGTTTGGCAAGTATCTTAAAAACCTGAAGATGAGGAAAGATGACAAAGGAACTCTAAGTTTCAATTTTACTTTGGTTACTGCTCCATTGTCCAGAAAGGTTAACATAAACTCCTGGAACGTTAGGGTCAAGTCTTCTTATTTTCTCAATAGTTGCATACTGGTCTGTTTGTTCTCTAGCTTGTGGTTGTACTGAGTTTCTCAAAGCGAACCATTCATAGTTTGCCCATGTTACTGTTTGAACTAAGTCAGAGTTAGAATATATCTTATATCCCATGAAAACTTCTGGAGCATATTGGTATCCGACATAGAAAATTCCATTGCAACCTTTCTTGTCAGACAACTTGGCAGAAGGTTTTATTTCAATGTCTTGTTCCACGTATAAGAAAGAGTTGTCAATAGAAATTATATGAAACCTGTCGCAAGCAATATCTACTGTTGTTGAAGAACCTTCTCCAAACTCACCTACGTTTCCATAAGAAACAGCAGTTGTATATTCGTAAGTTCCAGGAACTATTTCTGACCTTCTAATGGCATTGTCGCATTCGTTATACCATTCGGAAACATTTCCATTCATAGCATCCAAAACTGTTGGCGTTATATTCTGAGCGGCGTACATTTCATATGAGTAAAAATATAGAATAGTTGGATTTATATGTCATAATAGAACCCACGTGGACCAAGCTTTACTTTCTTCCTGACTGAGTTTTTAACTCTTCTTTTTCCTTCATTGCCCTCTGCTTTGAAGTTGTTGCATCTTTGCCTCATGTTCATCTAGTATGTTGCAAATTTCCCATGTCCTTTTTGCCTTTTGGCTCTGGTCGCCCATCTCAGGTAACCTATATCCTAGAAAGAGTTTGTCATAGTCTGTATTTGAGTCTTCGCGTATTGTTTGCATGACTCTTTCCTGAGTTTCCGGTTCAAGCTCTTCAAACAGTGCCTGTCCATATGGAATATGCTCGTTTCCAAATATATGTTTTTGTAGCCATTCTGGTTTTCTTTCCATGTTACCAACTATATCTTTTGTGAATGGGAAAGCTTTTACCCAATCTTTCAGTCTTGCGTCGTTTATTTCTGTAGTTGGTTTTATTTTGTCAAGGAACATGTTTTTCAATACTAACATTTCATTTGGTACTGTCCATTTGAGTTTTCTTAAATATTCATCCCTTCTCATTCATTGTCTGCAAAGTAAGTTTTTATGACATTTTGTAAACTTTCGTTTGCAAGGTCATGTACAATAGGTTCTCTTCCTTCGCCTCCCTAACTTTCTTTCTAAACTCTTCACCAAATATACCATCTCTATGGTTCTGTGTAGTTCTTTGAGATAAATGTTCTAGAACGTCAGGTGTTATATTTCCATCAGCCATGTTCATTTCATACTGGTCCAAAATATCTGCATGTTTCATATCTTTCAATGGCATTAAAGCCGCGCTGAAAATACCAGCTATATCTGGTTCACCATTGACTTCCATTGCGTCTACAACTTCTTGGAATTGTGGTTGTAAGTTTATGAACCACCTATCCGGATTAGCTTTATGACCCCATCTCATTGTAGTTCCATCGTCTGCAGAAACAAAAGTAGGTTTGTTTCCATCTTGGTTAGGTTCTGAATGAACTTTAAACAATGTTTCATTTCTATATGTTTTCTTGAAATTTAACCTTTTATTTTCACCGAGTTCATCCGAAGATTGAACGTTAAATGCTCGTAAGTAAAAAGGGTTGTTGTATTTGTGTACATTTTTTTTCAGTTCTTCCATTCTATGCTGGATATTTTCATCTGATGTTGGAGTCTTTTGTATGTCGGCAAACATTTTTCGATATTCTTCTACTATGTCAGCCGAATTTTTTTTAGACTCTTGGAAATATTCCATATTCTCCGCATACTCTTGTTGAGGGTCAAGATTTTTCGGCTGTTCCAAATCTTCATCTAGTTCTGTGAAGTTAGTTTCCAAAGGAGTGACTTGTTCGTTTCCTTCAGGCTCTTCTAGCTGTTGTTGCTGAACTATTTCTTCCATGTCTGGTTGTATCTGAACTATTTCTTCCTGTGGAGTTTCTTGTACCTCATCTGCTGGCATTTCATATATTCCGAGACCGTTTTTAACAATTTCCCTATCTACGTCATCCGCATTCATAAGCTTTTGTTCTTTCGTTCCGTCTCTATTTTTTACGCGTTTCATGACGAAAGTTGAATTGTCATTTAGCTCTGACATCAAATATCTCGGAGTAAATTCATCCATGTCATTTGGATGATATGCTATTAAATCATATCCCTTAGCGAGCTTGTATTTTCCAGGTTTGAGATTATATCCGTTTTGGTGCTGAGCCATAAAGCTAAATAGGTTCGGGTCAGTATTTCCATCCTTGAACTTTCCAATAGCTTCTTTATATCTGTCACTAAAGTCAACAGTATCTGGGAAACCACACTCTTCTTTAAGCATTTTTAAGAATTCTTGGTTTCCTTGTTCTCTACTTCTTTTATGTCCTTGCTCTGGTTGTGGAGGTGGTTGTTGTGCAGGGTTTTGAACTGTTGGTTGTGGAGGTGGCTGTTGTGCTGGGTTTTGAACTGTTGGTTGTTGTGTTGGTTTTGGTGCATGCCTGTGTCTGTGTCCATGTGACGATGTAAATGTGTTAGGTAGTCCTGGTGCAGGTGCTTCTCTTGGAGGGTTTGGTGGTATATAAGTTCCACCAGCTGGCACATATGTTCCATCTGCAGCGTAATGTCCTACCTGACTTTTCGTTCTTAAGAAAGCATTTACTAGGTCTGTTTTGGTCTGTTGTAACTCTTTTTCTTGACTTTTCACAACAGTTGCTCTAACGGCGTCATAGGCACTTTGAACTGCCTGTCTCGTTGCTGCATCTGTTATTTTCGTCATATTTTGTGCTACTTCTTTTAACTCTTTGTCGAAACCTTCAGACTTCAGTTTCTTTCCAGATGAGAAGTCGTTCACTAGTTTCACCTTACTATGAAGAGCTTCGAAGGCATTCTTAAAGTCAGCATTCATTAAAGCTTCATTTGAACTGTCTTCATCCGCTTGTATTTTTGTCCTTATTGACCCTATAAGCTGGGCTGCTTTAGCGTTGGCTTGGGCATCTAACCAGTCATTGTTAGCTTTTATATATTCTGCGCTTTTCATTGCCTTTTGCATGGCTGCGTCGTTATTTTTACTTTCTTGTGCTAAGTTTTCATACTGTACGGTTTGGTTTTGCAACTGTAAAAGTTTTTCTGCCTTTACATTTGCTTCAACTTCTTTTTTATACTCATCGCTATCCATATATGTCTTCAGGGCTTTTTGTTTTATTTCTTCATCTTTCAGTACTTTATATTGAGTAGTATGGTTTTTCAAATTTATAACATCTTGTTCCATTTTTGCTACTTCTGCTGCTTTTTCTGACACTTTTTTCGCATATTCCTCTGTACTTAGTTCTTTCAGTTGTTCTTCTTTCTTCTTTTTCTCTACGTTTAACTCATTGAGTTTCTTTGTGTGTCTGTCATATTCTAGTTTCTTTTCGTTTTCACTTATTTGCTTCTGTATGTCTATGTTTGACTTTTTGACATCTGTTATTTGATTTTTGAGTGAACTCAAATTCATTTGACTTTGAGGGTTATATGCTGTTCCGTCTGCAGCTCCACCATAGCCTGCCATTTTCGCTAAAAGTGCCGCTCTTAAACCTCCACTCTGTGCACCAAGAACTCGGTTTAAAAGCATAGGATTGCTTGACATTTGTTGCAACATAGTGGGGTCATTCAGCATTTGTTGTTGCAACTGTTGTTGTGGTGTCAGTTTTACTATTGGATGTTTCAATGCTCTCTTCCTCTTACGTATATTCTTACGTATCTTACGTGGCATTTTAAGTGAAGTTAAAAAGCGGTTTTTGACAGATGTTTATATGACACTTTTTGTTCAGCACAAAAAACTACTCAGTCAAAGTCATATTTTCAGTAAGGACATATGGGGTAGAAATGAGGTTAGAAAACGGGGTAGATATACCCTTCTACCCTAAAATATATTTTTATTGAATTCTGAGTAAAATTCTGAGTAAAATGACAGATGTTTATATGACACTTTCTCCGGTTTATAGGACCTCTCTCATATTCTATCTTGTCATATCTAAACTCAAAGTCATGTATGTCCTCAAAACTTCATTTCTCCTAAACATCTTCAGGGCTAGAAGGCACGAAGTGCCTGGAAGCCCCACTACCTTTTTTTTTTTTTTTTTTTTTTTTTTTTTTTTTTTTTTTTAAATAATGAAAGATTTCACTGGCCAAATAATATTCAAATGTAAATTATTGAAAAAGTATTTAAAACGGTCTCATCATTGAGTGTATGGTTATCAATATTATTAATTCATATTTCGGACAGAATGTCCACTGAAAATTCAGAGAGTTTTTAACTGCAAAAAAATCGCGATAAATAATATGTGGTGCTTTATTAGCATGAAATGACAAATTTTATGATCAAAATCAAGAACGTTACACACAATTTTGATTGAAGATATGTTTTTATATTAATGAATTGCTTCTATTATAGCTCATTAAAACTCTAAATTTGCCGAATGGATTGAGATGCGGTGTGGTCTCTCATCAATTTATTTGAATACTTATAATAGATTTTTCTGAAAGATCCGATAAAATGATTTTGATTTCAATCATTTTATCTTTAAATTGATGTCGCCTGCTCATGTCTCCATCAACAAGGACATCATATTAATAGAAGATGATACCGAAGAGATATTCACCAAAGAGATCTCTACAGAGTCATTCTTCAAACCAATAACAGATTCAATTATTCTACCATCATCAAAGCTTCCAAGTTACACCAAGAAGTCCAAAAAAATATTTATTATATTCATCATAGTCTTGGCGATCATGTCTTTGCTTAATTTACATTTTATGCCAAAACAAATTCAACTTGGAGAGATCAATTTCGACTTTGAAAAGTTCTCATACATCCAACGACTTACATTACTATCTATTTTAACAACTGTTGCTTATATTGAATAAATTGTTTGTATTATATTATTGTTTATCAAATCTAACTATTTTAAAACTATTTATTTTAGGAGGATAGTCCAACTTACAGATTTTCATAATTACGTAGTTGGATTTTTTATGCAATTTTTTAAAAAAGTATCCATTGTGATCGCCTCTAATGATATCATTATTAATACTTGATTTCATGTAGTATCTTTAAATATGCATTCCGGTAAAACTGTAATTTTAAATAACGATTTTAATCTATAGTCAATATATATCAAAAATGTAAGTTTTTCATTAACACATATCTAATTTCTTGAAATAAGTGATGTTTATTAACGAAATTTTGAACAGTGATTAAAATCACGCTAAATGATTGTAAAAACTTTGATTTCTTCTATTTTGGAAACAGTTCGACCATTATTCATACAATTACAAGATATGGACAAGAATAATTCTTATCATATTGCCGCTACGAAAATAATGCAAAGAAGGAGTCATATATTAGAAGCAAAATGTCATAATGGTTGTTAGCTATCAATCTCAAACTGATTTATTGAAAAATATGGAACTTTATCAAAATTAAACGCAAAATCCAAATTCATTCACCAAACTAGCTACTAGTTTGAATTACATTAAAAGCACGAAGAAGCACTTAAATATGAAAAATATGTAAAAAAATTCTGCAAGAAATATTGGTTAAAATATTAATTTCAGATGTGGTGAGTTAACGAATATGCTTTCATGCTGGAATATATGATGAAATCAGTTTTGTATTACGACAAAAAATAAAATCATCAAATTTAGGAATCAAAATGTTGAGATTCTTTGTCAATCGTATTAGCATCGCTCAAAATTTATTCTAGCTTTCTAATTCTAAGGCTCATCATTGATATATAAAGACCTTTCGTTTATTGAAATCAGCCAAAAAAAATGCAGAAATGTCACTTTTCACTATGAATCCAGAGCAGATTGAAGCTTTCAAGCGTCAAGTTATTGATTACTCAGAAACAAAAGCACATATATCGCTTGATAACGATATGACAATAGATAAAATGAAAGAATTAAGGAAATTTGGAATATTATTAAAACCAAAAGTTCCGAAACAATTCAAAATGTGGGAATTAGCACCTTCAAATGCTGGAGGTGAGATTTCTATTGAATTTTTTGAAGCACTTTTTGGTTTTCAAATTACTCCAGAAGCTTTTATTGGAATTCCTGCCCCAGTTGAGGAAATAAAGGAACCAGAAAGAAAATCACAAGAAAACTTCAAGAATGAAATGCCTAAACCACGCAATACTAAACCAGAAAAGCCAGAAAAACAAGAAAAGAAAAATAATTTTTCAATTCATATAAATGAGCAGCCACGACAGCAACAACAATATGAGGAACCACAACAAGCACCGGAACCTGTAGAACAAAATCAAAAAACTGGTGCTTTTAGAATCAAACCAGAAGCTACAAGAGAAAGACAGTATCCAAGACAACAACCTCGTTACAATGAAGAATACCGTCGTCCTCCTATGCCAAGTAGGGAAGAAAACGAATACTTTGATGATGGCCAAGATAACGAAGAACAGCGTCCAATTAGGAATAGAGGAAGAAGATTTGATAGACCTGGATACGAAAGACAAGAAGATTTTGGCAGACAAGGAGGATATGATAGACAAGGTGGAAATCATCGCCGAAACTACGATCAAAATTATTACGAAGATCATCCACGTGATAAAATTGAGCCAGAGCGTCCACCCATCAATCGCCAGCCAATTCAAAAGCCTAAGAAATCAGAACTTTCTCACGAAGACTTCCCAGCGTTAGAACCAACACCAGCTGAACCAGTTCAAGATCAGAAACAAGAAGAACCAAAGGAAGCTGCTCCTGTTCAAGAAGAAAAAGAAAAACCGAAACAAGAAAAATACGCTTGGAAAGGAGTTTTAGAAGATGAGCCACCAATTGACGATGATGAAGAATGGAAGAAGATCCGCAATGCTGATTACATTAAAGCTGTTAAAAATGACAAAACTTTAATAATTGGCGGAAATTCTTACTTAATTGGTGCAATTCACAAGTTTATTAAGAAGACTATACAAGATAATCTTGAAGATGGAGATGATGTTGATGTTGATGAATTATTTGATGGTATTAATCAAATTCAATTTAAGTAATAAAATGTATTCTTAATCTATATTAAATTTTACTAAGTACTTGTTTTTTCATTACTTGGTATGCGAAATCACATGAAAAATAGAATCATAATTTCAAATATGAATTTCCAATGCTTCATAGCAAAATTATCAGTCCACAACAACATGTATAAGTCTTTTGTATGCTTTATTTTATTACTTATGATGACATGATTTTTTTGTAAGTTTATTATTTTTTAGATTTTATGATTTTATGGAGGATTTCTCTTATCAAATAACTATTAATGATGAGAGGAATTCTCCTCAAGTTAGAATATCTTCAGCAAATGATTCTCTGCAAAAGAAAAAGCTCTCCGCAGAGTTTATTTTTAAATGGATAACATCAATGATTGCAACAGATGAAAAATTTCAGAGGAATAAAGAAGCATGGGAGTTATTAAAGAATTTATTAGGAGAACTCGAAAATGATGAACAAAAAATTTATTTCGATTTTAAACCAAATACAGTAATATTAAACGCTATCACATCTGATGCCCGTGATACAATATTCGAAATTCTTCAGATTTTCACATTTACTTACCGCAAAAAATGGAATCCAAAATTTGATGATATTATCATCACAATAACACTGTTATTACAAAATGCAGATGATTATTCAGTAGAAATAGATCTGTTTTTTAAGTTATTATCATCATATGATGAAATTGAAAATGTATCTGAGATTACATTCGCAAGTATGATTAATATCTTTGACTTACTGATGGAAAAGTTTGAATACATTGCTGTTAAATCAGGATATGATACTCTTGCGCATGCATTATGCTGCAAATTCCTTTTAAGTAATTTAGAACCACCAAATTATCATCCTTTAACGATAAAATTCATGCACATACTATCTCGAGAAGATTCCAACTCTAAATTACGTTCAAATGTAATCATTTTTCTCAATTTCTTCATGATCAATTTCAAAAACAAAGTGTATGAGTTAAAAATGAAGAATTTCATTCAGATTCCGATCAATGCATACAATATAACACATTCTCTTGATCTAGTTAACATTTTACTCTCAGGATGTACCCAATACAAATTATTCGAGTTTCAAGCGCTCAATGAAGAAGATTTAGAAGATCTTAAACAGATAAGAGATGAAGCTGTTAAAGTTAAAAACGTTTGTTTGTTAACTACTTTAGCAGAAATCGATTCTTCATTATCAAATATCAAAAAGTCTCCAAACAAGCCAAAAGAACTTGACTTTTGTACTGGAGAAACAGTTGATTTATGTAAAGAGTCAAAATCCAAAGAAGAAAAATTATATATTCAAAATTCTTCTGGAAGTGGCCATTCTAATGATAAATTGTCTTACAGTTATGATTCAAACGGAGAAATTAATATTCTTGAATTCAAAAAAGAAAATGAAAATGAGATTCAAAGAATTAAAAATGAATCTTCAGGTTCTGATGCATCAAACTCAAAGATTAATAATTTGAGTAGTCCTAAAGGCAATTCTGATTCAAACAATTTAAATCCAAAATCTGAATTCAAATTCAACGCAAATTATCTCTTGAACCTTGATGAATTCCAGCGCCATTTCCTTGCATTTGGAAAAGACTATGAAAGATGCGATTCTGAGACGAGAATTGAATATCTCGAAGGAAAATATGTTGAACTTGCAAAAGAAATCAATGAAGGTAACTTAGAACTTGATAGAATGAGAAAAGAGAATAGAGAGAAAAGGCATCTTTATTTGGAGCATAAATTAAAAGTTGAAAGAAGAAAAGACCGACTGAAAAGGAAGCAGTCCATCTATCATGAAACTTCTGAGAAATTTACTGAATACAAGAAAGTTTCAAGTGAAGTTTCGAAACTCAGAGCAAAATTAAATCTTTTGACATCAAGTTACGAGAAAAGCATGAAAGATAATACTGATTTGGTCCTCCAAGAACAGTATAGGCAATATCAGGACACGTTAAGTGAATTACAGTTCAGAAAAAGATGTGCTTTAGCAGTTCTCGAAAAGCCACTCAATTTTAGCATTGTTGAGGAGATTTTATCAACTCAATTAGAAGATGAAGTGGAGAGCACGTCAACAATCTCTAATTCAATGATAGAAGAAAAAGATTATTATTTAGAGTTTCAAAAGATTGAAGAACTAGTACAAGATAATGATATTCGAAGAGCTTCTCTCGAAAAAAGATGGGAATTGCTGAAACAAGAGCGTGCAAAGTACAAATCAATCAAATTTAAGAAGCAAAATCCTCCAAAGATCAATTCATCTGTAACCATTAATTACACAGCTAATTTGTCTTCTTGTGATGATGAAATACAGGAGATAATCAAATTATTGAATTCCAAACGCGAAAAACTCAATAATTTCAAGCAGAGGACAAAAGATATGGAGGCAAAATACATGGAAGTAAGAACTGAAATAGAAGAAAAGTATAATAAAAAGAACAAGCAAATCCAAAAAATGAAAAAGAGATTTGATGCAATAGGAATTATAAATGATGTTATTCGTGATATAATTCCTAAGAATCAAGTGTTTAAATCACATCTTCTTGAGCTCCAAAATGAAAGAGCTCGAATTGAAAGAAGAATTGAAAATATATTGCGTGATAAGGAAATGCATTCTAAGCGAGAAGAACAACTGAAGTTGTTGAGAGATAAATACAACGAAAAGAACTCTCAATATGAAGAGAAGCAAAAATCAATTAAAATTCGATATGAAAAACTCAATTCTACACTGCAAGTCTATGAGAAGGAAGACTTGAAACTTGATGATTATGAAGAGAGAGTCAGACAACTTGAAGATGAAGTTAAATCTCTGGAAAACAGCAATCAAAACGCAATTAGAAAAGTTAAGATATTCAAGTCCGACACAGACTTCGTTAAAGCAAGCTATGCTGCTCTTCATAGAAATGACAGTGTTCCAACAATTGAGTTGGGACTTGAAAAGACATTTGAAGATAAATAAACATTTATATTTCTGTTTTTTGTTTTATGTAATTCGCCAATACGTTTTTTACGGATTTTAAGAGTGTTTCAATGATTTATGGTCAAAAAACAGAAAAATATATTTTAGAAATTCTTTATTAAATGTGATTAATAAGAGCAAAGTATAAGAAATTTGAGAGAAATTCAGATAATAAGCTTCAAAACTATATATAAAAGAAAGAAAAAAATAATTCAGAAAAATATGAATAAAAAATGAAAAAGAGGTATAATTATCTGTTGAAGAGTTGAAAACAATATTTATTATGGTTCAATTTTCATGTTGCGAACAGAATCGAAGTAAGGATGGGCCAAAGCTTCTGCCGCAGTAATTCTTTCAGTGTGATCAAATCTAATGCATTTGTCGATAAGGTCTATTGCATCAGGAGTAGCCAATGATTGGTTATCGTAATTAACAAAGGATTGCCATTTCTTTGGCTTCAAGCGGAAGATAGAAGTCTGGAGGTAGTCTGGTAATGGGATGCCGTACTTTTCTAAGTAGTTTTCGAGCACTTTTCCGCCCAAAACCGAGCAAATCTTATTGACCATATCGAGGTCATCATTGCCACGGAAGAATGGAGTCTTCTTAAATATAAGTCCGGCCATTGTAACGCCGAAGCTCCACATATCAATGGAGTAATCATAGTATTGGTAATCGAGAAGAAGCTCTGGTGGTTTGAAGTGACGGGAAGCGACATGGATGTTATATCTGGTTTCTGGGTGATAAAACTCGGCAAGGCCCCAGTCGATGAGACGTAATTTCCTTGTGGAACGGTCAAAAAGGATATTTAATGGTTTAACGTCTCTGTGCATAATTCCGCAAGAGTGGCAGTAATCGAGAGCCTGTAACAGCTGATACAGATATAATTTTGCTTCATCCTCCTTAATGTCTGGGAAGAGATCTGTATAATCTGATTCCTTCACGTATTCAAAAACCATGCTATACTGTAATGTCTTGGGATTCTGAACGATATCATATAACTTAACAATATTTGGACCATCTCGAAGGTTTAAAAGAATTTTTGCTTCTCGATTGTATTTCTGTGGGCGAACTGGTTTCAATATTTTAATGGCAACTTTTGTATCACCTTTGTATGCCGTAAACACGTCACTGTATTTACCAGTGCCGACCCAATCTGCGATTTCATACGGCTCTGGAGAAGCTGTTGGTAATGTCCAGTTATCTATTTCAGACCACTCCGGACCACGTTTCTCACAGGCATCAGCGTAGACTTTGGCTGTGGTTACAGCGTTATATGATGGATTGTCTCTTTGAACCGCCCTTCCACGCGACATTTGAAAATCGGTTTGGCTCTATCGTCTCTTAAAAATTTTTTACTGGTTTTATTTCGTATTTATATAATGGATTATAACAAAAAAAATAGAAAATTTTTTTCATTAGAGCATTGGTCTCTTTTCTGAAAAAAAAATAATTAGAAAATGTCTGCTCCACAGCAACCACAGCTTTCTAAGAAGGAACAAAAGAGATTAGCTGATAAAGCAAGAACAGAGGCATTCAATAAAATGAGAAGATCGGTTTTAGATGCTGAAGAAAGTAATGATTTACTTGAATTAATCCCAATGATGAGAACATTTAAGAGAAATGGTCTTGATGTCACCGCTACATACTATACTAAGCTTGATCAGGATCTCTTAAAGTGGGCTTTAGATTTAACGGATCGCAACATGCATCAAATCTATGAAGACTCCTGGGGATGGAATGAAACAAAGAAGCTCAATGAACTCAAGGACAAGGCCGCTAGATTCATTGTCTTGAGACAAGGCGACGAACTTTGTGGTTTTGTTCATCTCAGATTTGAGTTTGAAGATAACATTTCCCACACATACGTTTCTGAATTACAGATTGAACCAAAGTTCCAACGCCATGGTCTCGGCAAGTTCCTCCTTCAATGTGCTGAATTAATCACAATGAAGATGGGAATTATCTGTGTTATGTTGACAGTCTTGAAGAATAATAATAATGCATACAATTTCTACAAGAAGAATAACTATAAATTCCATCCAGATTCTCCAAGTGTTGCAGACCCAGAAAATGCTATAGATTACTACCATGAAATTCTTGTTAAGGACATCTGCAAGAGACCAGCTATATAGAGATAGAGTTTTTTTCTGATAATAAAGAGAAATTTATATTAATTTGACATGTATTCAATAATTACTGAGTTCTGGTTATCTACTATGCCTAGGGAATATTCTTATTTAATTGATATGGACTGTTTTCAAAACAAAATCTATATGGACACTAAAAATATGAATTTGTGTGCATTTGTTTAGAGAATTGGCATTTCTGTGATAATTAGTATAAATTTGCCTGTTGAAGAAGGAGATATTTAATTGACTGCAAAATTGACAGAATGATGTCACATTTTTTACAAAAAAAAATTTAAATGTCTAACAAAGGATATAAACCAGTAGATAATCTTAATGGAAATCAATTTTATAGACAGAGTTTCTCCCCACAGATCCAAAAGACGCAAAAATTTCAATTTGATTACGGAAATGGACAGAAAAATTATCAATATACAACAAACAAAGGTCCCAAGATAGAAATTTCTCATCCAAAGAACTCACAGTTTATGATGTTCTCTGGTGGCACTAAAATAGAACCAAAGAGTCAAAATCCAAATCCTGTAATCATCCAGCAAGCTCCTTCTACTCCGCAACCAAAAGATATCTTTCATCTCTCAATTAAGAAGCCGTCCGAACAACCGGTATCAGATTTTATTCCAAAACATTCATTAGCTGCTTATATTGCTGAATACGAAGCTAATCCATCATTCAACGAGGTTAATCTTGCAAATCTTGGCATTGATGTCAACACCACACAGCCATTACTTCCAAATTTGCAATCCATTGTTTCAGATCTTCCATTAGGACAGAAAACATCATATCCAGCTCCTCAAGCATACAGTGAATTGGCACCAGAATGTGACCTCAAGCAGCGCCTTTATCTTTTTAATACATCAACCTTGATGTACATCTTTTATACAGGTAATAAACGAGATATGCAAGATGCTGCTGCAGAACTTTGTCGCAGAGGCTTTACTTATGATACAGAAGACGACGAATGGCGCAATCCAAACAACGTAAAATTTGATACAAATACATGGAAAATCCCAGAAGATTAAGAGCCAGAATATATACTATGTATACTGCAACGTAACTGTTATGATATTTGTTTGCATATAATTGTAATTTTTCAAATTCGAATAAAATTATTTTTTAATTTATTCAAATCAATACACAAAAACTTATTCACCTGAACAACTACGTTCGATTTATTGTGATGTCTTTTATTCAATGAAATTTTATAAAATATTTTCAAAAAAAGAAAGAAAAGGATGAATACCCATTGCATTTTTATTGATTGGCAATGAATCATTGTAACAACATTGAAGAATGGATTATGATATTATTATGAGTAAAAAATAATTAGGATAAGTAAGAACAAACTTTAATAATAGTGAAGTATTTGATTTAATCATACAGAATGTTTTATAATAATAGGCCAGTTTTATGGCTGTTCTGTAGTGTTAAGCTTTGCTTCTAATTCGGCGATAGTTTGATTAAGTGATGCAACTTTTGCCTTTAATTCTTGATTCTGACGAACGAGGGCATCAACATCAATTCCGTCACTTGCTCCTAATTGTTGACGAAGGAAATTTAACGGATCGGCTGGAGGTTCTGGTTGTTCGTACAAGTTTACTATTGCACTTGTTAGGGACTCTATAGCTCCTCCTGTTTCAAGATATTTTCTAAAGTTTTCGCGACGTGTATTCATAAATAAGAATTAACGAATTATTTTGTTTTTTGCCACGTAAACAATGTCAAATAAAGTAACAATTGGTGTATAAAAAAACTTCAAAATAATGAAACAGTGATAGATAAGATGATTTTCAACTCCAAAATATTTTCATTTTTAATTTTTTAAAAAGAAAAATGTTAAAATTGAAATGATTTTTTAAAAAATCAAAAAAATTTGGAGAAATTTAGAAATTATTTATCTATAGTTTTGATTTATTTAAAGATTATTCAAATATTTTCCTTTCAAATCGATCAAACAATCAAGATTAGAAATCATTCTCATTTATTTTTAGTATTTGGAACAAAATTTCTCATTAACAAAACAACATTCACTAAATATATAATTGTTTGAACTGTCAATATCAAATTATCCTGGAATAATCAAATAAAATTTCACGCGATATTTGGTTAAATAAAGGTAACAATCATTTTTCTCAAACCTGCTTCTAATATAACGTTTTCACTTGAATGGATCTGAATTTGGGAGTAATTCCTCGGTAAGAAAACCCCAATTGTAATGAGAACAAATTTGTATCTCAATAGGATTACATCGCTAAGAGTTTCTGTTTTCGGATTTCACATCACATTCCTGAACAAAATTTTGACACGTGTTTTTTTCAAAAACTTTAAAATATACAATATGAACTATTGCTCATCATTTATCTTCATTATTCCATTTGGAAAATCCCAAATTGAATGGGCAATAAGATTTTTAAAATGGCGATTTATTAATGAAATATTAGCCTACATTGTTTCAATATTCCAAATACACGCTGAATTACGAAATTCAAAATCCTTCAAAAAATCAGAGGTGACTTCATTTCTGAGCCACTTTTTGAGTGTCGCATCTTGTCGGTTATGACGACCATATCGCATGGGACTTCTTTTTAGCGAGACTTTCAAGAAATGGTTCGGCAACCGTGAAACCCGTGTTCTTATGCTCGGTCTCGATGCCGCTGGTAAGACAACAGTTCTCTACAAACTCAAACTTGGCGAGCATGTTACAACAATCCCAACAATCGGCTTCAATGTCGAAACAATCGAATACAAGGGCTTCAACATGAACGTTTGGGATGTCGGTGGCCAAGACAGAATTCGTGCTCTTTGGCGCCACTACTTCCACAATACACAGGGTCTTATTTTCGTTGTCGACTCTAACGATGTTGGCCGTATCGATGAAGCTCGTGATGAACTCCACAAACTTCTTGAAGAAGATGAGCTCCGCGATGCTATCCTTCTTGTTTATGCTAACAAGCAAGATCTTCCAAATGCAGTTAAGCCACAGGAACTCGGAAACAGACTCCGCCTTAACACAATCACAAACCGCCCATGGCAAGTCCAGGGTTGCTGCGCTACAACAGGCGATGGCCTTTATGAGGGTCTCGACTGGCTTGGTGATCAAATCAACCAGCACTTTTAAATAACAGGTCTGAATATTATAAGTATCCAAAATATCTAAATCTTTTTTTATTCTAAAACTTTCTGAAAAAAAATTCTGATTATTTTTCTTTACAAATAAGATTTGTCACGAGCAATTTGAAAACAGACACCAAATATAATGGGTTTCTAACAAAATTGATTTTTTTGAAAAAGAATTTTTCCATCATTTCCGAAACTACCGGAATATTTCAACTCTCGCCATCTTACATTATAAATTTAATTTTTTACAATGATTGATCTTAGAGAAATGGTTTAAATTATTCATTTGAGCTTATTATGATATAATTTCAAAGTCCAATAAGTATATTCAAATGCAACAAGGAATTAAAAAAATGTTTTTGTTGATAGGAAAAGAAAATTAGATAGTGAAAACAATTAATAACAAAATTTAATATTATATCCTAAAAAAATAATAATACTCTAAATCAAAATAAAAATAAACAAAAGAGATATATGTAATTACTTCGAAGCGTGCAGGTTATATTCATGAACAAGCGATAGAAACTGACTATTCATTCTATTTCTGTATTGTTCTTTTCTGCGATAATCATTAATTTCGCTAGATATCTTATTGTAATATTCATCCAATTTCGGCTTAATTTCTGCAAGCTGTTGTCGATAACTATCCAATTCCTTCTTAAACGGCCCATCTGTTGAATTTAGCATCACGCAATTCTCTGTGGACAATCCGAGACTCTCCAGTTCAAGGGATAGCCGCTGTTCGTATGACAACGAAAAATAATGATTGAATGGAATTTTTGGCGGTAAAGGATTAATTCGTAGAAATGGTTTCTTGGTATGCGCCTTTGATTCTAGAGGAAGAGTAACGACAAGTGATGAAAGTAATCTGTGAATTGCGCCTGAATTTAACATTTGTTGGTCTTCTACTTGGAAAGAAGGCACTTGCTCTTGCCAGTACTCGCTAATTTCATTATCAGCTGGTGGTGGAGCTGGAGGAAGCTTAATTTGCTGTCGTACTCTACCTTCGCGCGGATTTGTAATAATTCTTAATAATCTTTGATTCCAATGCTCTTCTTTAGGTATTTCTGGATTATTGTCTATTGTAACTTCAAGCAATGTCTTGAGATCGTAGTCACTGGGAATCGGATTTAAAAATAAATCCGTCATTCCCCAAATTGGCTTATCAATAGTGAGGTCAATACGCTTAAGTTCTTTTGGTTTATCTGGTTTGTTATTTTGCCGTTTTGGCTTGTCTTGCTTAATTTCTTTATTATTACCGCGAGGTCTCTTTGAAACCCCTTCATTTTTAGCAAATTTCTGCTGTGGTTTAGGTTTGGGTTCCATAGGGATTGGCATTGGAGGCTTTGGCTTAGTTTCAATTGAAATTGAAGCCTGTTGCTGAGTATTTAGAGCAATATTAACTGCTCGGCGAAATAACTCTGTCTGCGTGAGTTTCTGGAACTGTGCCTCAAATAATTTTTGTTTATCGATCAGACTTGCCTGTAATTTTAGAACTAATTTCCAAAGTTCTGACAGTTGAGACTGAGATAAATCCTCAGATACAATTCTCCTTAATGTATCTAAGTCGCTTTGACTTACTGAGAGATCATTTGGGTTAATAAATGGAGTTTGCTTGCCTACTCCATTCTCAGACATATTAGTTAAATTCAGGAAAAGTGACACTTCTTAATATCTTGCAATTTTATTACCTGATGGTTGCAACAAAACTACTAATTACAAACAGATAAATTAAATGCTCCAATTTATTTTTGTTTCTTTCTGCAATTTAATTCCCAAATTAAATTCCGAATGAAATTATCTAAAATACAACATAATTCACCAATAAAACTAACATAATAAGGCTATTGGCTTCATATGAATCAAATTCCTTCAATCACTCAATAAAAAATTCCTGCTGGAATGAAATAGCGTTCAATAGATAATACAAATCAGCACATATCTTAAAGGTTGCTTGAGAATCATATTGATTTTTATTACTTAGTTGATCTTCATAATATTGGTTTAATTAATTGCAATATTTGCTTATATCGCTTAGAACATTCATACCCAGAAACAAAGGTTTATGATTTTGATCTTCCAACCCGAATTTTCTTTTTTTCAAAATATAATCTTTTATTTGAATCAAAGTTGTTGCCTCACGCAATAATATGCGGATGACAGCTTGATATGTTCTTCGTGAAATACTTTTTTGAATGTAAGATACCAGCTGTAATCAAAAAGTAGTATATGAATGCGGGTTTAGTGACTTTTTTTGTTACATCTATATATAGACGATACATTAAAATATATTTATTTATAAATCATTAAAAAAATTAACATTAATTTTAAAATAATTTATTTTTTATTTTTTTATAAAATAATCTATATATAGATGATGTCAGATATTCCGCGATTAATTAAACATTGTTTAAATCCTGAATGGGTTAAACTTCAATTTAAAAATGAAGATTGTGAATTATTAAATGAATATGAAAGCCAAAATAAGCTAATGAGGTATAAATATAATGATAAAGAATATTTAATTTCATGGAATCAATGGAGTCATAATCAAAGACCTCATAAACGAGAAGAAGAAATTGAAAATAACGAAATGGAAATCATTGATGACATTAAAGAGGATGGAATTCCTAAATTTTGTAGAAAAACCTTTAGAACTAAGTTAGGAGCATATAAACGTAGAGTATTAAATCCTGAATACATAAAACATTTATTTAAAAAGGAAGACTGTGAATTATTAAACGTTAATGAATATGAAAATGCTAAATCAAAACTGAGATATAAATATATTGGAAGTGATGAAAGATGCAAAGATAAAGATAAAGTTTATTCAGTTTCATATAATAACTGGCACACGTTAGGGATAAGAAAACATTTAGGAGATTATGGTAAAAGTTCTGAATTCTTTAAATCTAGTATGTACGAGAGAGTAAAAGAAATTAGAAATAATTATTTTCATGAATGAAAAATAAACTTTAAAAATTCATGTCTTACATTTTTGAATAATTTATTTTTTTATTTAATGATAAATGAGTGGATCAAGATTCGTAACCGTCAATCAATTAATGGATGCTCTTTCACCAATTCTTGAAAATGTTAAACAAGTAGATGTTTATTTCGATGATTATGTAGAAAGTTTATATTATAAAGGTAAGTTTAATATTAAACCTATTGCTTTTGCATTTGATAATAAATTAATTGAAAATGCAAAAATTTGGGAATTAATTCCGAATATTGAATTTATAACAAATATTAATGATAAATGGTTTAAACGAATTCCAACCACAAAAGTTCTTTGTAAATTAATGATCAAAACTGAGGAAAAAGAATTTAACGGGTTTAAATATCATCCAAATAAAGTTTCAGAACTAGAAAATGAAAAACTTCAGAAAAAATTAAACGATAGACTTTCAAATGATCGTATTGAAAAAATAAATAAACTAGCAGAAGTTGCATTTAATAATGAAATATTTGATGAATATAACCTTGAACTCAGTGATGGGCTTTAAGGACCCGGGCTCAACGAGTCATGATTTATGATATCAATTATTTGATTTATTCTTTCTTCAATCTCTTCTATTCTTTTTGTTAAATCATCTATTTTCATTAATGAGGTGATTCTTGATTGAGGAATAGATTTCAAACTAACCACTCCTTTTATTTTTGAAATTTTGAATCCATCAACTTTAAACATTTTATTCAATTTACATGTTGTCAATTCTTCAAATAATTTTTTATTGTTAGCATAATAGTTATTAAATTCTTCAACAGATGAAAAAATTTTTATTTCAGTAATGGGTTTAACAATGTTTATTTTTTGTTGAACATTTTCACTTTCATTTATTTCTTCCTCCTCTGTTTCATTTATTTTTAAAATCGGTTTCATTTATCATTAAATAAAAATTAGAATATAAGTGATGAAATATATTTTTTTAATTAATATTAAATCAGAAATGGCGGCAGGATTCTTTAAAAAATTATGGGATGGAATTAAGAAAGCTGCGGGTTGGGTTTATAAAAAGATTATTAAACCCGTTGCAAACTTTTTGGCACCAGTAGCGAAAACGGCAGGAACTATCATAGGTGGAGTATTAGGTACTAAAGCAGGTAATCCGGCGATGGGAGCACAAGCAGGTAACGCAATTGGTGGAATAGCTGAAGGAATACTTAATAAAATAGGGGGTAAATAGTGGAAAAATAAATAAATATTATTTTTATCTTAGTATTGGTTGTAGTCTTTGATAAACTTTTTCTCCTTTATTTAAAATTTCTCTTATTGGGGCAGCTTTTGGTGTTATTGATTCAGCAATGTCACTAATTGCTTCTTTATTCTTAAATATCCAATTTGCTCCTTTCTTCATTGTTTCCCAAACTTTATGCGCTCCTCTTTTTACTTTATCCCACAGTTTCTTAAAGAATCCTGCAGCCATAGTTGATTATTTCATTAAAATTAAAAATTCATTTTCATCTTTCAATTTTGATTTTTTTATTTAATAATAAATGACGACTAACTATTTGGTGCCAAACACTAAACCAATTAATGGAAATGTGTTTCATTCATTCGAAAAGATAAATGAAATATTCGCAAAGAATGACGGTAGAAGATATTATAGAGAACTTGAAAGTTCATGCTATGACTCTGATGCTCCATATTTTGATGATAAACAAACTCATTTAAGAATTACAAATCCGGCTCATGATGTGAACCAATTAGGTGACACATATATTAAACGCAAAGTTAAAGCAACTCTAGTTTCAAATAAAGCTTTCACATGTGATGCCGCTTTTAAATGCATGCGTTTATTCGTTGGTTATAAATCATCAAATCAAAGCTTTAAACAATTAGAAGTAGAAACCGAAAGAGGTGATGCCGGTTATCTTCAGATGGATTGCGCCCGTGAATCTTTCGCATTTGCAACATATAAACCAAAATCAGAAAGGAAAGTTAAAAAGTTTGTTCATTCGTTATATAATAATGTTCAAAAATATGATAACTCAGTATGTGGTAAATATATTGACCCTTCAGAAGTTTTCAAGAAAGCAAATGAAGAAGTTGATATCACTTTTGATATGATTATTCCGGTAAATGATTTGTTAGCATTTCAGGCGTTCGATGATTATCCTAAATCATTTGGTGAAATCATTCTTAAATATTATGTTTTCAGGGATACTTTAGTATTTTGTCAGGTTGACCCGTTAAGAGTTGCTGATTTACAAAATTACGTTTATGAAAAGATAACTGATGAAAATTATGAAAAGATTATGAATCATGTTTATAAATATGATCGCAAATTCCAACAAATCGGACTTCCTGCCAAATTAATTACAAGCTTAGCCGCTACATCTGCTGACGCAACAGTTGATGACGTTATTATTTCATGCACAAAGATGGAAGTTTTAGAGGATAAATGCATTACACCAGGATACGGTTTAATTGAAGAATCAGTTAAAGCAATACCACGTTTATTCAGTAAGGAAGATCCATTCATGATTCCAGCTCAACATATTGACGTTCGTTCACTAAATGGAGGTTGCATCACTCCTGAAGGTATTAGCTCAGATTTCTCATACGCTCTTCATAATGTTACAGATGTTGTGTTAGCATTTCCGAAGAATGCAATGCAAAGAACAGTTTTAGAAAATCCAATGCTTCGAGGTCTTCAGGTCACTATAGATTCCAGAAACTTCCCCGATCAAGCGATGACCACAGTGGGTGATATATTCTTTACACGTATGCTTCAAGCTTCTGATTTAGATGGAGTGAATGAATGCACAGAAGAATACGAGGACTCATTAACTAGACCACTGAATGATGATAATGGCACACCATTAGCTAGAACATGGAAAGACCAAACTTCATTCTTATGCACTATTCCAGTTCAACGTGATGGAGCGGGTATATTCTTTGATGGATTAGAAACTTTCAACTCACAAGTTACAGTACAAGTGAAAGCTTATCCAATCATTCAGGGTGAAAATGACACTTACTGTTCAAAGGTGACAAATCCTCCTCAGGTTTGGTTTACTAGGACTACGTATTGGACATGGACACCGGATGAAGGTTTGAAATATCATCCAACAGGTACACCACCACAGTATAGAAGTTCATATGATGAAATATTGATGAATAGAAATGTTTAAAATTATAAATTTATTTTTGATTAAATGGATTTAAATTCTGAAGAATTAGCGGGAGTATATAATACATACGTAGATGATATGATTAATGAAGCATTGAGTGATAATAGAAATGCTCTATCTAAGGAAAAATTAATGAAAATTCCATATTCTGAATGTTACTTAAATTCAATCACTGCAGCAATTGGTAAACAGAATAAAGGTAAAACATTAACGATATTAAAACAAATTATCATTATTGCTAACACTTCCCCCCATTCACATGTGTTAATTTATATCAACCGTTCAGGTTCACCTTCAGATGATACATTTGAATCTTTAAAGCATTTAATCAAAATTCCAATTATTTATTTATCACAAGAAGAAGCAGAAGATTATTTAAAAAACTTTTTAATGTATAAAGAATTATATAATACAATCAAGAAGCAAGGATTAGAGGATAAAATTATTGATAAACAACGGGATGAATTATTTGAAACACTTTCTATTTCAAATTTTGATAGAGAATTTTTGCATTCACTCATTTTTCTAGATGATGCGGTGAAATCAAAACTAATAACAAATGAGAAATCATATTTTAATCAGTTATTAACTCAATGTCGACACATTCAGTGTTCATTCTTCATGGCTGTTCAATACTTCAAAGCATTAAGCACAAACATTAAATCAAATCTATCAACACTTTTCATTTTCAGTGGTTTTAGTCGTCAACAGTTGAACGTTATGCTTTATCAAGTGAATTTACCAATGAGCATTAATGAACTTTACACACAATATCAGCAATTAGGTGAACATGGAAAAATAATAGTTGATTTAAATAAAGGATGTGTTAAATTTGATTAACTTTTTATAATTAATTTTTATTTTTTATTTATAATTAAACATGACAGAAATAGCAAATCTTTTACAGGTTCCATTAAAACAAGGGACAAACAAAAAGGGGGTGTGTATAATAGAACTATGAAAGTTCCAGACGGAATGAAAGAATTAGTTCATATTGTTGCTGGTCTTCAAAAGGATGTAAAACAAATGAGAAACGTTTTAACATTACCAGAAGCTCAAGCATATGCCAAACGTCATGGTCCAAATTGGGAAGCATATGAAGCAGACATTACAGGTCCAAATGGAAAACCTGATGGTATAAATGAAGTTTTCGTTACTGATGGTCAAGGTAATATTAAAGTCATAAATGGTTACAAATTAACTGTATCTGATTATCCTAAACGTAAAGCATATAATGAATATTATCCTATGCAATTTGATGAAAATGGAAAAGCTGTTAAACAATACATTGGAGAAGGTGAACATGGTCCAATTAATTCATACCGTCATAATCCATATTCTTATTTCAATGAAGAATTAAACGCTATTGAAGAAGGACCGGATGGATTACCACGATATGTTAATCAGTTTGATGGTCAATATGCAAATTTGAGACCTGAAATTCCAGCTAAGAAATTCTTTAAAGTTGCTTTATTCGATCCAGTGTTCAATGAACAGAAAGAAGCAATGAAAGCAGAATTTAAACCAATTCAAGTGGCAAGAATTTCTTCATCTTCACTTGCAGAAGCGTTCAAGGAATTGATAAAGAAACCACTTTATTCTCAACAAGGTTATAACTTTGATTTAATTAAAGAAAGTGATAGACGTAAATTAGAAAAATCAGATGGTTTTAAGAATGCATGTAATGAAATGATTAAAGATATTGTAAATGATAAAATAAGACTGGAAGAAACTCAAAGCAATATCAATAACATTATTGGTGCAGTTACAAAGAAAGTATAAGCAAACAATGATGAACCTTGGGATATTACCGTAACAACTAAATAAAACTTTAAATATATTTTTCTTTTTTTATTCAATTATAAATGAGAAGACGTTTCACAAGTCAAAAGAACACTAACGCAAAAGCAGAGATTACGGTTGGTTATAACGTAAATGATGATAAATCACGAATTATTCAAAATGTTAAAGTTAATGTTAGCCCTGAATTAACAAGGTCAGCAACTCAACCAAATTTATTAACTCGTGACTTACCGAAGAATGAGGAGAATGAAGAAAACCATGAGAATGGAGACCCAATCATTTTATCTGAACCCGGTAAAGAACCCGTTGAAATCCCCACTTATCCAACATACCCCCCACCTCTTTCATCAAACATCGAGAACCCAGGAATCTACGATTCCAGTCGCAATGCGCCATATAAAATAGACATTAATTCTGAATTAATGAAAATTTACCGTGATATAATAATTAATAATTATGATTCAATAATAAATTTAATTGATCAATCCGGTTTAATTATTTTACCTTATGAATCATTAATTCACATTATCGCCATTCTTTGTGATGTTCAAGATTCAGACGTTAAGATTCAATTTTTCATAGATGATGAGGTTTCATGCTGCGGAACAGTTGCAAAAATAAATCCTATAAAGGATATTAGCACAATTAAGATATCAAAGAACGGAACAACAACTGAACTTCATTTAACATATAATGATATTTATAATAAAATAGTTGATGAATATAAAATATCACTTGAAAAATTCTTTGTTAAGGCTATTTAATATTCAAGCATTAACATTATTGAATAATAATCCTTTGAATCATAATCAATAATAATTGACCTTTCACCAGTTTCTATCGTTTGTTTTATTTCTTTTTGTTCCCCACTATCTGGATCGGTCATTGTAATTGTTTTTGTTATAGTATCAGCTTTATCTTTAACTTCAATCTTTTTTCCATCAGGATATTTAAACCAAAATTCCAAAAATTCAATATTGTCAATCTGTTCATATTTTAATCTATCAATTGCATTTTTAATACCATCTGAAAATCTTATGAAATGGTCATTATATGGGTTTGATTATGGTATCATGAATGGACATCAAAGATTTTTAAAACTAAAGCTGATACAGGATGGGTTTCGGGATGTTTAGACCTTAAAGCGGATAAAACTTCTGTCAACAGTGAGTTAATGAAGAAGGCAGATAAAGAACTTGTGGCTAGTGAGTTAATGAAGAAGGCAGATAAGGAATATGTTAATGAAAAAGATAATGAAATTAAAGAAAGGGTTGAATGGTATCATGAATGGACATCAAAGATTTTTAAAACTAAAGCTGATACAGGATGGGTTTCGGGATGTTTAGACCTTAAAGCGGATACAGGATGGGTTTCTGGATGTTTAGACCTTAAAGCAGATAAGGAATATGTCAACAGTGAGTTAGAGAAGAAGGCAAATAAGGAATATGTGGATGAAATATACCAAAGTTTGATAGGAACAACAAAAAATATTGAAACTATTGTTGGTGACTTTTCTGTCTATGAAGAAAATAAATATTTTAGATGGGAGTTTGTACACTCCTTAAAAAATGGTATACGGTATAAACTCATTCCGAAAAATAACAATGAAATGTATGTAAGCTATATAAAGAATGATGGTACACAAGTTAAAGTTCCATTAGACAACAACTGTTACTTAAACTTATATGGAGACGAACAAAAGAAATATTTAAGAGTTTATGAAATGACAGATATGACATTGCCTAACCCAGCTCCAGCACCATATTATTATGACTATGGAGATGACGAGAGAACACCACATGTAGATGAACAAAAGTTAACATTATATTTAGATTATTATAGATATAAAAGATATAATGCAATAGAAAAAACGAGAATAGTATATTATTATACAGATGACAGAAATAAATATTATAGTCAAGATTTTACCTACCTGAAAACATAAGATTATATTATAAAAAATATTCTGACACAAACCAGAAGAAACCTGAAATAGTTGCACTATATTTTAAGTTCAAAAGAGACAATCCTATATTATCTCATATGTTTGATTTAATGAACCCAGTAGGTTCTATTTATACATCTATGGATGCAAGAGGTCCTCAAGTAATGTTTGGTGTTGGTGCATGGGAACAAATAGTCGACAGGTTTTTGTATTGTGCAAACTCTTCAAAGGAAACAGTGGAAGTAAAACAATTTCAGGTGAAAATTTACCTGCACACAGTCACTACATAGATTTAAGTACATCTCAAGCAGGTTGGCATAAGCATAGATATTGGGATTGGTCAGGAATGACAAAAGGTAAAGGATATGATGTTAAAGACGACGTTAAGTTTGCTATAAATTGTTACTGGGATGACACTCAGGGAGAAGGAAACCATACACATTTCGTTTCAGGATATACGCAAACAACGGGACAAAGTAAAGAATACATGCCACCTTACATGACAGTTTACGCATGGTATAGAGTTCAATGAATGAACT